TCTGGGCGCCGTGTTGGCGGGATGTTGCGCGGCTCGCTGCTGTGCCCTTTGAGCGGACAGTGTGAGCTGGATTACTGGTGTCGTTTCCTTGCTGCGTGGGGTCTGCGAGACAGCTCAGGCTGAGTTCAGGCTGAGAAATCCGCAGAGCAGCGGCTGAGAAAAGATAAGGCTGAGTGAGTGTGTGTGTGAGGAGCTCCACGGATTGGTCCATTTGGACCTGGGTGTCGTTACATCACTATACTCAGGAAGAAAAAATGGAAAAAGAAAAATCTCCAACGAGGCGTTCTGGGGCAGCATAGACACGTTTTTTCTGTGTTAGAGTTTGAGTTGTACTCGCTACAGGGTGTACTTTGAGGGTTTGTGACTCTGCAGACCGTTTACATGCAGAAAAAGCTACATATCACACAAGGGGACGGGTAATAACCAGAAAAGCATGACATGGGACCTTTAAAGGACATATCCAAGAGAAAAAAACAAGTTAGAGTTCCTTACTCAGCAGACAAATATGAAACTCAGTCCTCTGTTCCTACTATCATGATAGATAAAATCCCTTTTGTCTCTAACTGATCAAAATCACACATATTTAGGATTGTACATCTACAGTAAGCATCTATCATTTATAACTGTTTCCTTTGGAACACATTTGTATCCTGAATGTATCCAGGAGGGTTTCACAAAAATATAAATCTTTTCTTCCAGGAAGTCCTGGCTTTGCCGGGGGCTGGAGTGCATGCGTTAGGAAAGAGTGGGGTTCACCCTGGAGAGGGCAGGAGTTTATCAGATACACAGATAACTATTCACATGCAGGAGCATTTAAAATATTCAATTAACCTGGGGACCTGCGACATCAGTAAAGACTGGAACCCAGTCTTGGGTTAGGACTACAGTTACATTTAGGAACACTGAAGTTTGAGGTTATTGATATAAGTAAGCAGAAAGTCCTCTTAATAAAAACAAAAATGGATCATGTATGTATTTGTGGTTTCTATAACACGGAATTTCCACTTTCATTTCATACTTTCATGTGTAATGTCCAGCATTTCTAACACTGCTGATGCAGCTGTCATACTTTATTATCATTTAGAGCAGAGGAAATGCCTGAGACAGATTATTTTACAGAAACAGCCCTCCGTCCATGTATCACTTGTTGTTTTCTGTTTGTATCCTCGTTATATTTCAACAGGGTGGTGGCAGCTCTGGATTTATTCACAGACCTTGTTATCGAGGTCCTTGAATTAAGCTGCAGCATACAGTAGAGGTCACCTAGACTCACTCTAGACTAGAGCATATATATGGACAACAAGCTCCTTGATAAAGAGAGCAAGTGTGGTTCAAACAAGAGTGTTTTTTTCCTTTGTATTATTAATTCCTTTTTATAATTTGTCATATTCAATTGAACTTTTACGGAAAATGTCACTGTTTCCAGCTTCTCAGACATGAACATTATCTTTTTTTTTGTTCCTCTATGATAGTAAACTAAAACTCTTTTGCAATGTTGGTTCAACAAAACATGACATCACCATGGGCTGTGAGAATGTATGCACCTTTTTGTATAGACCAAACATTTGATGAAAAAAATTATGAGCTGATAAAATATCATACAATTAATAATAAATTAAAGTTAGTTGCATTATCCCTCTATATGCATAACTCAGAAAATGTTACTGCACTGGTCATTATAGTAATTGGGACGATATGAAAAAGGCAAATGACCTTTTGAAAGTCTGTTGCGTATTATACTTTCCAAACAGATGTTAATAGACAATAGCTTATCTCACATTAATTGTGTAAATGGGTGGTTAATGGGTGCTTTGTTGGGTGTGAGTCTGTACCATCCAAAGGACAACATTGATTGCGAGGACAGTGGGCACCCCTCCAAACGGGAGACCCTGCAGGACGCTGCTGCGGGAGTGCGCGCGATAGCATCTCTCTGCAGTGCTGTTTTCCTCCCCGAAAGAGTCCAGGATGCTCAGAGCATCCAGGTCTGCAGCGTCCCCCCCCACAGGGGGCGCTCTCGCCGCAAACAGCTCAGAGTGCGCCATCAGCACTGGACCATATCTGAAGGGAAAAAGAAATAGGAGAAATAAACAGAGTCCATTAGCCAAGATTTGTTAAGTGTTGGAGAAACGTTTGCTGACATTAGCCACCATTAGCTACCAGTCATACAAGAAAAAGTTGGAACTGCGAAAAGCTATGTGTTTCACTGCTGATGAATAGTTTACAAGAGAAGAAAACGTTTGTAAAGCCTGCTTTGAGTTGGATTTAGGCATGTAATTTGTTGCCATTATGCACATCCATTCAATAACGACACACCCTATACTAGCCTGTATTAACATTGACTGAAAATGTTGATATTTGTGGGAGACTGAGGGTGTGGTGTTGGTAATTAGCGATGAAGTTGAGATTTAATGGTCGCTTTTTGTAATACACAATTGTGGTGACTTTTTTTTTCGCAGACAAGTGTGTGCCACTCACTCTAAGTTCAGTTATGAGAGCACTTTGAAGAGGTCTAATGACCATCTCATTCCATTAGCAGTCATTGATCCGTGTCTGTTTATCTGACAAATGGAAGTGCAGACGTTGTTATGGTGAGTGAAGGAAGCAGGACACAAATGCAGATAACGCTGAAAATGCCTTTATTTCAAGGATAAATACAAATAACTTTGACAAACCAGAACGAGGAGGCGACACGAAGGACCCGACAGCCGGGTTTTAGGGCAGGAGGACTGGGGGAGGTTGGGTGGGACCACCGGATCACTCGGCAGGGAGGAGGCCTGGGGGAGGTGGGGTGGGACGAACTCCAAACAAGCTGAAAACACCCAAGCCCAAAAAAAAAAATCCCTGCAGACCTTAGCAGGAACCTCCCCCCCCCCAACGACAATGCCGTAATACACACAATACAGTACAAAAACAGGATAGTACAAAAGGAGAACCATATAACAGACCAGGAAGAAGGACCACAAAAAGGGGGACAGCAATCAAAGGGAACACACGAGACTACACACAAGTGGGACACCCGGGGAACACAAAGAGGAGGGGACGGACCGACAAAGAGCAGAACACTAATGGGCGGAGCGGACAATAAACAGAACAGAGAAGGACACAAGTCACCAAACCAAGCAGGAAAAGCAAACACTGACTCAAG